GACTCAGTGGCTTTCTCAAAGCTCCCCACAGTTATATCCAATTCTTCACAGCTTTCTCAGGCCAGGACTGTTCACATGAACAATATGAGCCACCATGAAGTGGCACTGTAGTTGAAAGAATTTGCTCTGCCCTTTCCTCATCCCTATCCCACACAGCCACTTCCCTGGTGCTGGCATAAAGGTTTAGCCCATTTGTCTGTTATGAACAAATATTGGGAAACCTATCTGGATTGACAACTCACTGGTGTATAATTATGCATTTGCTTACATGTTTCTGCCCAGTGCTGTTTAAACTCATCTCACTGCTGTATTCAACTCAGTTCTCTTGTGCTAGCCCATGGGGAGGGTTAGTGTAGGAGTGAAAAAGAGCAGGAGAGAACAAAATGATTTCTCTTGGTCGTGAAACTAATTCATGGAAGCTTAAAACGCTTCTCCGGCTGTAGCCCCTGCTAAATGGAAATCCACTGTCAGACAGACATATGCTCTGTTTGTCCCTTGAAATGCATGAGCTAAGAATCATTGTGCAACCCATAGCCTAAATGAAAGCAATGTCAGGCTGGGAGAATCAGTCCCCTTCCTCTGAGATCTGTTTATCCACAAAGAAGAGCCCTTTTACTCAGTTGTTTGCAACCTTTAAAAATTTGTGTACAATAAATGTTTTCTAATGGACGGGTAGTGAATTTAGGCCCATGGACAATAGATTTGCTTTGCTTATTTTGCTTCTGTAAGTGCATTAAAAGCAGTGTATCAGTCATTGCAGGTCCAGATTTGTCGGTTGCAAACCAGTGATCTAATTTGTTGTACACCGAGGACTGTGTATGCGAAGGATTTATGTGACTGAAGAACTAACTAAGTGGGAACTGCGGGAGTGGAAAAGAAAGAAGAAATCTGCTGGTATTTCAGAAAGGAAGCGGTATACAATCTTTTGGATCATTTAAGCAACCCTGGGAAATGAGAGCTTGTTCTTCCTAAGGTAGCTGATCTTTGAAACTGCTTGTGTGAGAATGGGTGGGAGTTGGGAACAATAAACTGATTAAGTGCAGCAGGTAGCAGGAAAAATGAGATTCATAATGACCTCCATTTGTACTACCCCTTATCTTCCCACGTATGCAGGAATACACAGCCTGATTCTCCGCATATTTTATTTGGTATAAATCAGGGCCAGCTTTTGAAATCGACCTTAATTACACCAGGAAAATAAACAAAGCAAAAGCCAGCGGCGAAAAACAAAGACATCCCCCCCTCTCGCTCCCAGGCACAGCAGCCCTCACCGAGAGCCCGGAGCCGTGCACGGGGAGCACTCTCGCGTCCCTGGCCGGGCTCAGCTCCGCAGACAAAGCCCTGTGCACCTCTGAGCAAAAAGAGCGCAGCGCGGCGCCGAGCGGGCGGGAGCGCAGACAAAGCGGGGCAGGCGCCGCAGCATGCGGGGCCGCGCAGCGCTTCCTCTGCGAGTGGGCTGCTGCCGCGCTTTCTTTTTTTTTTTTTTTTTTCTGCGTGTGAGTGTTATTTTTTTTTTCCTCTCTTCACCAACTTCCTTCCTGCTCTAACTGCCAAAGCTCGAGGCTGAGCGCTGACAGCAGAAGAGGACCCCGGCCGCAGGCGCCGCTCAGCCGGTGAGTACGAGGGGCGGGCAGGGGGGAGCCGCGCAGGGACAGCGCAGCGGGCGCACCCCCGGCTCGCTCCTCGCTGGCGCCGCGCAACTTAGCGCCTTTGTTCCCGGTGGCTGGCGCCGATGCCCAGTCCTGCCCGGGGAGACTGGCAGGGCCCTGCCAGGACCCGAGGGGGAAGCCTGTCCACCCGAGGCTCCGCGCGGCGTTGGGGTGGAAGGGCAGGGGAAGGGGAAGCGGCCCCGGCGCCCTCGCGGTGGCGGCGGAGGTATCACTGCGGGGTGGTACCCGCGGTCCCCGGGCAATGGGCGCTCTTTCTATCCCCGCACCCCAGAGGGGGTGGGATGGGCAGGCCAGGGCTGGGGGCGCTCCTGAATCGGGTGTGTTTCTCCCCCATCGCGGAAAATTACTTCCTCCCTGCTAAGCCCGCTTCCTGGAGATAAGCTCTTGGTTAGCGGATGGTTTGGAGCAGTGATACGCAGAGGGAAGGCAAGTGAAATGCTGCTCCTGTGACATCCCTTTTTGTGCTCCATGGCGGCATGGGGGGGCGAGGAGGTGCCCACCATCCACCCTGTCACTGGCCCCTCCTGCTGCAGGTGCGAGGGCAGCCACCCACCCACGGCACAAGCAGAACTCAGCTGCGAGATGCATGCACCCCTCGTCAGGTCCTCCTTCGCCTCCTGCAGCCTATTCTTTCTGGCAGGCATCCCTAACCCTTACCCTCTCCCTGCTGTTTCATGGGTCCTGCCAGGCCTCAGAATTGCAGGTGATGCAGGACTGTGGGTTGGGGCTGCAGGAGCACAAGAAAAATGTGGCAGAGCAAGACAAAAATCACAAAGATTTCTCCTTGTGTAGAGCAATATAGGGTTAATGTTCTCATTTTTAATGAGCCTCCTGGCCTGAATGGGGGGCTCTATCTTAGTCCTTGGCCTGGGCAGTGGCACAGAAGCTCATGGACTGCGGCAGCAACATGCTTTCTCTGGGGAGGCGCTGGTGCCTGAGCCCAGGCACGTGTCTCAGCTTGCAGAGGGGACCAGCTCCAGAGCTGGAGCAAGTAGAGGCAGGAACAGTTGAGATGGGAGCTTTTGTCTTGGCCACCTTCTGCCTGGGAATTTGGCAGGAAGGTAGGGTCAGGTCCATGGCTTCGGGAGAAATGACAGAACGGGATCTGATCAGAGCCATCCTGAGATGCATGTGAGCCAGGAGTTGTTCATCCCAGACAGCCTACCTGGTCCTGTTCCCTGCAGGATCTTACTGTTGGTATGACAGGCTGTTTGTCCATCTTTCTGGGAGGTTTTCAGAGTCTAAAAGCATTCCTCTCAAGTGAGCCACCCCCAGAGGGTGACAGGGAGAGACTTTGTGTCATGTATGAGGCAAAGGGAAGGTCTGAGGGATGAGGAGCAATCAGTCCTGACTCTCTGCCTTTTCTCTGTGTGTAGCCAGAGATCTCTCTTTCCATCTCCTGGGTCTGTCCCTCTCCTGTGATAAACCACAAGATGTGGATGGGGGAGGACAGGGGCAGGCAGGCAGGCATCTCTGCTCTGTGCTTGTAGTAGTGGCAGATGCAGCCTGGTATCATGAGAGAGCTTAGGAGAGTCAAAATTACTGAGACCTGCAGCTGGAGCCCAAGTGGAAGGTGATACCTGGCAGTGGCTGTCATGGCTCATCACACCCTCTTCCTGTGCTGAGTGTGGAATGGCACTGAGGGGATTGTGAGGCTTTCTAAGGTGACTTTGCAGAGGTCACAGAGTGGTGGGGCATGTGTGATCATTGCTTTCATGAGAGAGCTTTTTTTTTTTTCCTTACTCATGAGGACAAGCTCAAGGACCTTTCCTATGGTATTTAGGTACTTCACACTCCTAGAGTTGGGTGTGAACTCGGTCCAGGTTATTCAGCTGCTAGGATCTGCTTTCTTTCCTGTCTATTTGAGTTGAGATTCCCTTTTATTTCCCACCTGCCCACTCTGCACTAGTTTTGCACTCATCACAAAATTGCAAAGTTGTCTTGCAATAACCATTTCCCATTAGCATGCCCAACTGAGTCTTCTTGTTCCTGTGCTGCTCAGTCTTTGTAACGTGCCTCTGTCCCTTTGTAATATGCCAATATATCACTCCTTGATTATTTTTTTCCCCCATTGCAATTACTCTGGGAGGTGTACCTATTACTGATTGTTGCCTGATTCACTCACTCATGGCTAGGCTTCGTGAACGAAGATTAAGGATTAAGGTGTTGCCTGATACCACTTGCTGATTCACCCTGAAGAGTTGCCTTTTTTTTTTTTTAATGTTTCCTTTCAGTTTTAATGAAGGAGAAAACTATCCAATTAGCTCCCAATTTAACTTTTGGGAGCAGGGCAAATGTTAAGACTACAGCTTCGGAGAAGGATAAAGGGTTTGTTTGGAAAATTGCAAATAAGCAGGCAAAAGGGGAATTTTTGGCCTCACAGAAAAAGTTAATATAAGGATAAGTGGAAGTGAACTGAATGATCTGTGTAGCTTGACCAAATTCCCTTGCAGCCAAAGAACAAGTAATGGCTTGGCCATTTGTGACAATTGCCACTGTAGTGGGGCACTGCTTTGTTTTTCAGCCTTTCTCTGAAGAGTGGGAAGGTGGCTAGGACTATGTGGCTAGCTCCATGAGGCAGGCAGCTAACTAAGGGTAACCTGGCATAGCACTGCTTACCTCTCCTGCCTGTCTCCTGTCCCCCCATCCCATACCCTGGTTGCCCATCAGTTGATCTTTCTCTGCTGTGGCTGCTATTTGGGATGCCACCCAAGCAATTTTGCTGCCCTTCTGAGTTCAGTGGTGCATGTCCCAACCATGCTGGCTGCGTGGTTGCAGGCTCCAGCTCTCCTGCATCTCCTTTGCAAGAAGTCCCACTGAAAAAACACAGGTATGCATGGCTGCTCTGTGGTCATCATCATGCTTCCTTCCTTCAGTGCCTGAAGGGAGCTGTTCCTGGGAGCACAGGGGATGCCAGCAGATAGACTAGTGGGTTCGCTTCCTTGAGAGCTTCAGCTGACTTGCTAATCTAAGGGAGTAGCTGTCAGGTATTTGATCTTTCTATAAAATGTGGCTTTTAACCCATTATGAGAGGGTGAATGAAACATCTCTCCCTGACTTTATTTGTATATCTCTGTGCTCCAGTGCGTGGCAGTGACTCTTTGTGCGAGATAGCTGACGAGCACTGAAGCCTTGTACAGTGGCTTGTAATTGCGGGGTTGCCGGCCACAGCCATGCTGCAGAGTGGCTGTAAATCACTCTGGTTTCAGCCTCTGCTCCTGCACCTCCTCCCTGGGAGGGAAGAATGGTGTAAGTGCGTGTGCGCATGGTGCCTGCAGGGAGAGAGGAGCGGGGGTAGAGGGGGTTTGTGTTCAAGCCAGAATATCAGCACAGCAGCATCGGGATTGCAGCTGATCACCGTCGCCATTTGCCTGTAACAATCCTGCTGCCTTTGGCACTGGGTGTGTGCTTGCCTGTCCCGGAGACTGAGCCACACTGTGCCCAGAGTGACTGCCCCTGGGGACACTACCCTGTCCAGAGCAATCTCATTGACTGCCCCCTCCTCTGCTACCCAGACCAAGTGACCATGACTGAGAAGACCCAAGAACCTCACGTGGAAGAAGATGATGATTAGCTGGATGGGAAACTCAATTACAAACCTCCTCCCCAGAAAACCCTGCAGGAGCTGCAAGAGTTGGACAAGGATGATGAAAGCCTTGCTAAATACAAGAAATCCCTGCTGGGAGATGGACCTGTGGTAGTAGGTAGGCTGGGGCACACTGATAGGGAGGGACTGGGGAGATGTATCACAACAGTGTGCTGTGGGCATGAGGCAAGGTTGCCTTAAAGAAGAGGGATCTTGTTTGACCAGGGTCACGCGCTGCTTCTGCTGGAGGACTGGGGATGGACAGGTGGAGAGATGCATATAAAGGAAGCAGGGAAGATGCTCTGAGCATTAGGAGTAGGATTACTGGGGAGTGCTGGCATCAAAAAGGGACTTGTGGTGGGAGGTGTGTTGGTCTTGGAGGACTCCTGGGGGGTTAGGAACATGAGGGAACCAGCCTATGCTGAAAGGGAGTCTTGTTGCTCAGAAATGATCTTAAGAAGGAAGTCTTCTGTAGTGGAAAGACATCCTCTAGGTATCGGGATGGACACCAGAGGGATCCATGTTTAAGGACTGGGGTAAACATGTGGTCCTATTGTGCTAAGAGAAGCCTGGCGTTACTGGGTGTTTCATGAAATGCAGTTTCTGTGTGGGAAGGCATCCCTGTTTCTTCAGTGTCATTTCCCTGTGATTATATTTAATTTTGCAAGCTGACAGCTTCCCCCTGACTTTCCTACCCGCAGACCCAACAGCTCCCAATGTGGTGGTCACTCGACTCACTCTGGTATGTGACTCTGCTCCAGGACCGATCACTATGGACCTTACAGGTAGGCACAGGCTCTGTCCTTGATCACGAAGGGGAACAAGCAAAGGCCCTGGCATGCTTTAAGTTAAAAGGGAGTTTGTCCTTGGGATGCTACAGTGGGCTTTAGAGGAACTCTGAGGGCATCTTAGCCTTGTTTCTTACTTTAAGGTATCCACATATGAATAAAAAAGGAGGAGGTGTAACAGAGGAAAATATCAAGGGTCTTTTTCTTCATCTAGACTGCTCTAGGAGCTGGGTTTCTCCTCCATCTCTGCTTACTTCCTTTCAATGAGACCTCACAAGCACAAGGGATGTGCATGCATTTGGTAACAGGCTGTTTTGAAACTTCAGAATCAAGCAATACTGCAGTTCCGGCTCCTGAGGACATGGGGAGAGAATCAGGCTTCACCTTATATGGGCTTTTCTGAAGAGAGAGGAAGCTGTGCCCGGAGAGGCAGAGAAGCTTCCTGTTCAACCAAAGCCACACAGAACCCTGCAGAGCCCAGGCAGCCTTCCAAGCTGGGCAGGAGCTGTGAAACACGCTCCACTCACCCGAGACAGGGCTGGGCATAGATGGAGCATGCACACACTCCTGCAGGTGCCCAACAACAAGTGTATGCATAAACATCTTTATGTATGTGTGCCCAGACCTGTGTTAGTTTAGGCATTATCTTCACAGATGTGGGCACAGACACATACGTACAGCCAGGCATTTCTGTGTATGTGGTCTCATGGTGCAATTGCTTATACAGACCTCCATGTGCTCATTTTGCAGGTGTTGCCAACCTTCAAACAGATGCTGACCTCCAACACCAATCCCAGCCCCATCCTCCCTCCCACGCATGGTCTCTCCTTGCTGTGACAACTCTAATGGCTTGATCCTCTCCTTACAGGTGACATTGAAGCACTCAAGAAAGAGACCTTTATATTAAAGGAAGGAGTGGAATACAGAGTTAAAATCCACTTCAGAGTGAGTTGTTTTCCTTCCTGTTGCTTCTCATCAGTTGCTGAAGCCAGTCAGCAGCAGTCTATCAGATAACTGGTGCCAGGCAGCATGCCTCCCCAATAGCTGGGCCCTTGTAAAGCTTCCCTAGCTTCAGATGTTGTTCTACCCAACAAAGAAACAGCTATTTCCAGGGAATTACTTCTGTTTGCTCGCCCCTTGGAGGAAATTGATTTCTGTCCACTCACACTGGTGAACAGTAAGTGGTTTGAAAGCCAGATGGGTAGTTTTGGCTGAGTTTGGTTTGGCTTTTTAGCCACCAGAAAACCTTTACTCCACACAAAGTGGAAATGGACAGGGAGGAGAAGACAAGAGATAATGGCTTTTCATGAAGTACTGATTCAGTCAGTGTTACTGGGCTTCATGTACACGTTAAAAGGATTTTTAATATTGTGACATCTGGCTGAAGATAGCTGAGTTCTTCTGAGTCATGCTATACCCAAAAGGGCTCATTTCTCCCTCTTTCTCATTAACCAGTGTGTCAGCCATTTCTTCTGTTTGCAGCTGAAAACAAAACTTGGCCACGCTGCAGCGTGGCATCCAACACTGAACTGATCATCTCCACAAATGTTTGCTTCAGACAAAGCTAGGCTTGGCAGAGAAGGCAAAAATGGAAGGAAGGTAGTTCTGAGGCAGACAAGGGAAGGTGTTAATATTTTGGGGTTTGTAGGGCACATTTCCCTTCTCCTCCGAGGTTTGCTCTCTCAGAGATGAATGTCCCCCGATGCTGTCCCCTGAGACACTTCCACCTCTCTTTTTGCTATGAAATGTTTCCATCTGTATCTGAGCCCTGTTGACAGGAGATATCTGGAGCCAGACAGGTTATTCGAATTCTCTCCCTCAGTCCCATGGCTGGTAAGAGCTGGCATCACGTGAATTCTCCCCCGTGATATAAAAGGATCTGTCCATCTTGTTTCCAGATTAAGTAGTGTACACTGCAAGAAGGCAGTGTATGCTGGAAGGGAACAGCAAGGGATACATCCAAGCTACTGATGGGAGATTTGAGGAACGATTATGAACAAAACTCCGTCCCTCTGTCTCTTGAGGAGAAGCTTGCCAGCTCCCCATGGAGCTTAGAGGACAGCTGGCAGTGCTCAGCTAATTTTGCCCACCCATTTGTATTGGAGGGATGACTAGTTACCCACGTATGGTTTTCAATATGAAAATTGTTAACTGGGAACTCCCTGCTTCATTTTTCTTTGTCCTCATCAGCCTGTCTTGAGAACATGACTGATGTGCTCCAGTCAGCTTCAAAGTCAGGCAAAGGATGGAGAAGTGCAGGAGATGCACAGAGGATGCTGTTGGTCTCCAGGTGCCTATGGAAAAGTTGTATTAGTGCTCTCTACAATGTGTCCTGTTCTGAGCCTCCCTGCTATAGGGAGTCAAGATGGGTATGTCTCTAACGAGAGGGAAAATCAGCAGATACAGAACTAAAACCCTTCTCCTGACACTTACTTCTGGTCATTTCTTTCAGGTAAACAGGGACATTGTGTCAGGACTGAAATATGTGCAGCACACCTACCGGACAGGGGTGAAGGGTGAGTAAGAGTCCTTCATGCCCTACACACCAGTGCTCCTACCTCTGTGTTCCCTCTGCTCAAAGTGTTCCTGCAGCTCTTGGCTAGGACAGAGGCTCCCTTGGTCCCAAGTCCCTCCCTGCACTGCCATGCAGGAGGTGACTTCTCAGCAGTTTGCATAAACCTCTGTTGCCCAGGACAATTGTTTCTTGTCCCATGTGAACTAAGTATGAACCAGCTCTGCTATCTGTGTGCTAAACTGTCTGCAGCAGCAAAGTCTGCAGAGACTCTGCTTAGACAGTGCTTGCCACAGATTTCTTCTCCATATGAGCTCTTCACCTCCCCTCCACCTCTCCTCCTCCCCCTATAGAGTGGCTCAACCTGTGTGAAGCTTCCCATCCCCTGAAAGCTCTTCAGAAGCACTTGGTAAAATTCAGACCTGCTCTACAAAGCTTCCTGCTGTGTGTAGGGTCCTGTATTTGCTGGTGGGTTCCCCTCTTCATACAGTGCTGGTCTGCTTGGACAAGGCAGAGGAAAGCCCCATTTTGCACACACACATCCCACAGGCATTTTTGCATGCAACCACCCCTAAGGCTTCAGCATCCTGTTCAGCACACATAAGTAAGTGGTGTCTTCTCATCAGGAAAGAGAAGTAATAGGGAATCAAGGTAGACCTTGAGCTGTATGCTCTGTGTACTCACTCCCTTCTAGCATCATATAGATGTGACAGGGTATAAGCTGAGTTGCCTGTTCACCTGCCCATCCACCCATCTTATCCTTCCAGCTGTCCTTATGCTTCACTAACTCACTGTTTCCACCAATTCTGCTCCCCTTTGCTGACATGGACTGTCCCTTTCTCTCCCATCTTCTCTCTGTCTGTGATCTCCACTTATGCTCACGGCTTCTTCTCTCTTTACCATTCCCCATCTGAGGGACTCATCTGCTGTGGATTGTTTTCTCCTAGTGGACAAAGCCACATTCATGGTTGGCAGCTATGGGCCACGGCCAGAGGAATATGAGTTCCTGACACCTATTGAAGAGGCTCCTAAGGGTATGCTGGCTCGAGGCACCTATCACAACAAATCCTTCTTCACGGATGATGACAAACATGACCATCTCACCTGGGAGTGGAACCTGTCCATCAAGAAGGAATGGACAGAATGAGTTCACCCAGTTTGCCTTCCCCCTTCCTGTCCCCTTGCCTCCTGCACCAGTCTCCAGGTGGGCCATGCCCACCATGCTGCTCCTTCCTGCCACCATGGCTGGCCACAGCCCTGGCAGCCCTTCACATGAGTGCTGGGGCTCTGTGCCAGCCTTGGTTGATGCACAGCCCTGCAGGCGGCCTTTGCTGCTTCTTCTGATACACTGAAAACAACCCAACCGTTCTCACCGCCGCCCCATCGTGACACATAATGGGTTAAATTGGGAAGCATCTCCCTCCCTCTCTCCCAATACTTCCTCCTGTTGCCACTGTCCCTCCTGTACCAACTCCGGTCCCGGAAGTGCCTTTTCTAGGAAACAAGATCACCTGGCAGGGCAGACTGGTCCCTGGAAAATCCCTATCTTGAGTTACACTTGCCATTGTGCTCTGACTCATTGTAAATGGTTACTTACCTCTCATGATGGTCTCCTGGTCTGTATCTGGTGCCCTACCCTGTTAAAATCCATCCTTGTGCAGGCAAAACCAGTCAGGGGGAATGCAGCTAGTTGCTGTAATAAGACTTTGGTGTCCCAAGAATAAAACCAGTTTCTTTCTTCTTTTTTGCGTGAGTGTCACTTCTTTTCTAGAGTATGTTTTTCAGTTTATGTATGTGAAGAATGCATTATAGGAAAGCTTAAGAGCATATTTCAGCAGGGAAATAGCCCTCCTCCTTCAAAACATCAGCCTTACTCTGTAAGCAAATTATTTCAGAACTGTTTCCTTCAGGGATTTCATGAATCCTTTGAAGCCCAAAGTCTGGGCTGTGATAGGAAGTAGACTTCAGGGTTAGACAGCCTCCACCTCTCATCCCAGATGGCAACTGAATAAGCCAGGAAGCTATAAAATAGCCTTCTCATGTTTAACACCTGCCGTAGCAGCTGTTCCCCAGGACTAATGCAAGAGCTCCAAGTCCCCGTGGCTGGCCTGCTTGGACACCACTTGGAGAGGGATGTTCTTACCCAGCTGGGGTGCCTGGTCACAAAGGCATGGGGCAGCCGAGATGTCCAATGCTGTGGATGAGGATGTACCAGTGGCAGTGCCAGTGAAGCTCTCCAAGGCTGGTGCCCACACAGCAGGGAGGGGCTTTCTCCAGCCAGGTGGTTATCCCAGGAGCTGAAGGCTTTTCCCTGGGCCAGCTGCTCCTTTCCCACTAACCCCAGGAGTGGCTGTGGGCCACCGTAGCAGCTGACGTGTCTCTTGCCAAAGAGAGGACTGGAGCGGGTGGCGTGGTGAGGAGAAGGCAAGCTGGTACCATGGGCACGTCTGTCTTCCTGTGTCTCTTTGTTATCCTACTTACCAGATGCTCCCCATCTGGATGTGCTGGAGATGTTGACTCTGCATCCCACAGTAAGTGAGCTTTCTTCCAGGCTCAGGGAAACACGGTGTCTGCTGCAAGGAGTCTTCCTTATCCAAGGTATACACAAACATTGTGTTGAGCTTGCAGGAGAGGCGTTCAGGTGAGCTTGTAAGGTTGGGATGCTTGTGTGTATGTTGGGGGAGCCTCTTTGAGCTGCTCTTTGTGTACCCTCTGCCCAACCCAGATCTTTCCTCTCCAGGCACAGCCAGCACCACAGAGAAACCTATCCTGTTAAACAACATCGCAGATGCTGAAGCCTTTGTCAGTGGTGCAGAGGTTGCAGTCATCGGATTCTTCCAGGTGTGTTCACAGCACCTCCCCTCTGCCAGTTGTGATCCCTACCCCACACTGATGACAATCTGGGGCTGGATGTGGTGTGAACACCTGCCAAAGGCAGCTATTGTCCTGAAAGGTGCTGGAGCTGTGACAGGCATGTGGAGGGATTAGGTGACATGTCACAAAGGGAATACAGGGAATTCGGTCTCTGTGTGGAAAGGGAGATGGAGTAAGGGAGGAAGGTGAAGGAGGCTGTAGGAGCCTTGGAGCAGCAGAAAGGGAAATGCTGCAGGGGAAGCAAAGCAAGAATGTGGGTAGCATAGAAACAGTGTTAGTGAGGGGTGAGTGGGAATGTCAGGTTTTTTGCTGTAGTCAGCAAAGACAGAGTAAGGCACTGCCTGTGTGATGGGGCTGAGGAAGCTGTCTTGGAGCAGCGCTGGTGAGGGTCCTCTGAAGTTCAAGATGGCTTGGGCTCAGGCTATAACCTCCTCATAGGGAAGGTGTAGGCATGGTCTTTGTCTCACTGCTTGGTTCCCCAGAATATCCTTGAGATCTCTGTCTCTTTTTTTATCTAAATTCAATTGAATTCAGAGGTGAGTGATGGGTACAAGCCCCTTGCCCCCTGAGCATGCATATTTTTCCTCAGGAAATAAGACAAAAATATTTATTGATTTGGAGCACTCTAAAACAGAGGCCTCTTTGGCAGGATACTTATTACTTTTAAGGTCCTCAAATTGCACCTTTTTCTGCCTTTTCTTTGAGCTCTGCTCTTCTGCTGCCCACACGCTGCCTCATGTCAGAGAAGACTTCAGGCTTTCAAAAACAACTACTTCTGCAAGCACCTTCCTATTTCTGTCCTGTGCCAGAGGACAGGTCTGGGCTGGAGGGCAGCTAGGGAGGGCATCATGCCCTCGGAATAGCGTACTGACATCTCACATCCCAGCACAGAGTGAGGGCTGATGGTGCTGCCTGTGCACTGTAAGCAGCAAGTGTGTGAGTGCTGGAGGCTTATGCCCCAGGGGCCTTAAGCACTGATCACAGAGCACCAGCCTCGAGTTCAGTGCCTGCAGGCATTTGGAGCTTCTTGGGGGTTGCTCTTGCAGCGCTAAAGCTGTGCAAACCAGCGAGGCAATCTACACACACAGAATGAAAGTGCTGAGACGCCTACTTCCCCCAGGGTAGCTGGCTGAGCTTGTGGCAGGGCTGTACCCAGAGCCTCCTCCTGAGCTACAGCAGGGACATGGCTTCTTTTGTCTTGTTCCACAGTGACCTCCCTCCCGCTGCAGGGTTTCATTCTTCAGAGCCAGACAGGAGGCTGCTGCCGTACGGCCCCAGCTGCCAGGAGCACGAGGCTGCAGCCGCCAGCGACGTGTCAGGCATTCAATGCCTGAAGCACGACAGGGCTGCGTTTGAACAGTAGATATGAACAGTAGATAAAGACGTATGTGTACCATGAAGGCTTGGCCCTCTGCCTGAGAGTATATTCATCCAAATAGTGTCCGTGTTTCTCTGTTTGCCATAAATTATTTCTCTGCTGCAGCCTTTCAATTCACTGCAGTATGCGGCTCGGCAAGCTTCCCGTATAATGAGCATGGCCTCCCTGACTGGGAACAGCATGCCATGGTGGAAAAACAGCACACTGCTCCAGAAACCCTGAGTGTCTGCGAGAAAGGGCCGTGCTTGGCCTGATTAAACCCCAGCTTTCCCAGGAATGCTCCAACACTCTGGGAGATTATTCCCACCCTAGGCTTTAGTGCTCTTACCAGAGCAATGTTGATGTTCTTGCATTTCCAAAACAGGTCGCGAGAGATGACTTTCTTTGGAATGAACAAAGAATTTTGTTTTCCATTCACTCTGGGCTCGCAAGCAGCTGAGCTGACAGTTCAAACTAAAAAGAAAAACAAACCAATTTCCAAGCAGAGACCATGTCTTCAGAATTTATATCCAGTAACAGAAATACATCACTAAAAAGTTGGGAAGCGGAATAGCAAGGGAGGCTTTAATATAGGCTAGGGCTGTAGTTAATGCTCTCGCTGTAAGAAAGAGAATGGACCTCAAATTGCTGAGAAATTGCACATTTCCATCCTTTGATATTAGCTGAATTAGCCTGAATTAGCTACTTTTGAAAGGATATATTTAAGATATCTTTTTAAAAGAAAACAGGATACTGATAATGCAAGGTGTTCAAAAAATTGTAAACCCCTGACTCTAGAATCAAGGTTAGCTTAAAAATTGTGGGGGTTATATATTTATTTTACACACACACACACACACACATAATTAAATGTGCTACATCCAGATTATGGGTTTGTCCCCTTCCTTTTGAGAGCCCAAGGGCTCTTCACCATCTTGTTGTGCTCGCCGTGAGCGTGGGCAGCGAGGTTTGGGAGGAGTGCAGGGCAGGGTGCACATCCTGCCATAATTAACTGCAGGCCGTAGGTTGGGACGGAAGGGGCGCTTGGCACCGCCGCCTACTGACGGCCCCGGCAGAGCGAGGACGGGGCCGGGGGCCGGGGGCCGGGGCTGTGCGTGACCCCCGCACCCCGCGGGCCGCGCAGGACGCGCGGGGGCCGCTCCGGGCCGTTGTGCGCGCGGCGGGCGGCAGGTGTCGCTCTCGCGCCGCCCCGGGCGGGCGGCGGGGTCGGGGAGTGCCCGGGGGGGCTCCGCCCGTCACCGCCCGGCCCGTCACCGTCCGGCCCTTCACTGCCCGGCCCGTCACCGCCCGGCCCGTCACCGCCCGGCCCGTCACTGCCCGGCCCTTCACTGCCCTCTCTCTGCCTCCGCAGGAACCGGAGAGCGCCGAAGCGTCCCAGTTTCGCCTGGCGGCCGGCCGGATCCCGGAGGTGCCCTTCGGCCTCAGCACCAGCCCCGCCGTCCTGTCCCACTACGGCGTCTCGGCGAACACCGTCACGCTGTTCCGCAGGGTGCGTGGGCACTGCGGCGTGGCGCAGTGCCACACACAACCTCGAGCAGCTCCCGGGGAACACGCTGCCGGGCAAAAAACTGATTCTCAGCATGAGCACTCTGATTTTGGGGCCCCCTCACGTTGGCATGGGTGAGAGGGGCTCTAGGACAAGCACTTTCAAGGTGCCCGCAGTCACGGCACAGAAGGGAGATCTCTGGGAAGTAGTGGTAAAAAAAACATTGAAGCTGCTCACCTCTCCTTAGAGCAAGCCAAAAAAAGGCTTGTCGTTGGCAGTCAGGCTGCCTGCCCACCTCAAAGCACATCGGTATAGCTTCCTGCCCCAAAGAGGGCTTTTGCTTTTGGTTTGCAGAGTGCCCGTCACTGAGACGTGGAACATTTATCACATCTGATGAGATTCGCCTTTTTAAGTGTTTGCCCTATGGATCTGGTTCAGCACCCAGTGCTCTGTAAAGAGCAATGTCTGTGTTTCTGCATGACCTGCCTGGAGCTCGGCATTAACTTGGATGGGATTTCCGTAGTTTCGGAAAGGGTCCTGAGACATGAGAAGTGTCTAGAGCCCATGTTACAGTGGATCAACACAGCAGGCTTGATATCAAATCTTGCCAAGTGTCACTTCAGGCAGGCAAAGCTGTCTCCTAGCATACAAAACTTTTCCATCATGACTGAAAACAGATCCAGCTGGGTCTCTGCAGTTACAGATGCTCTGCCACCAAAAGAAATCCCAAATGCTCTTTTCTGTCTCCTACACTGTGGTTTGCAGACTTAGTCTCTAAATAAGCTTTGGTCATGGACTCATTAGAAATGTTACTTTAGAGTTTCTTAGGTATGGAGACTGTGCAAGATCAAATTTTTGTTGATCCCACTGTATGTGCTGGTGCTTCACTGTAGCTATGTTTGCTGAAATTTAAGGAGATGATACTGGAAATGGCCACGTACTTGCTTCAAGAATACCAAGAAAAGCTAAGAGCAAATGTTCTACTGGTTATATCAATTTCCTTGTGTTTCCCCTTTTCACACAAGCATGGCACTTGAGGAGAGGTAGGTATATCTGAAGAGCAAAGGGGCCCCAGGTAGCACAAGAAATCCTAAGAGCCAGTGAAGTGTTGTGTCACCAGAGCTCTAAGTGCATGGGGTGAGGAGAAATGGGAACACACTACATGTTCTAGGGAAACTAAATATGTCAGCTTGGCCAAGTTCTAGATCTAGGTTGTACAAAGATTGGACAAAGACAGTTTGTTCTCTGTTCTTTCTCATCATTTCCTGCACTGTGTTTACCACTGACATTATCCAAATAATTCAAAAAGAATGATCTAAGAGTGAGCAATAGGTAGGCAGGTCCTTTTATTTAACCATTTATTTACTGTGTGTAGATGTTGCAATTTCTAAGCAACGCCCTTTTCAGTTTTGGTTTTTAGTCATGGTGGTTTTCTTCCAAAAGTACTGAAAACATCCTTTGTTTTCGTGCTGTGGCAGATAGTGAGGATGACTGCATTGGAAGAGTGTTTGATAAAAGAAAGTGTTTGGGTTTTTGGAATTTGGATTATATTGAATATTCTTCATTTGGAATCCAGTTTTTGTGACTGAACTCTTGTTTAATAGAAAAAAAAAAACAGCCAGGAAAATAATACACTAGTCAGGTTTAAATGTGGTTGACAGTTCACTTGTCTGATTGTCAATTTTTCTTAAATTATCAGACACATTATTTTTCATTTCATCTTGTGCTGGATAATGTGTAGGAGTTAGCGGTCAGAGATAAAAAGGAATTTTAAAAGAACGGATACAGGAACTTTTAATCAAACACTCATTTGAACAATACAAAGATGCATGACCAGGATAGAAGTGAATCAGAGGCGTAAATTAGTTTTTTCTTTGCTTTTTGCAGAGTATGAAACACTTGTAATGCTTAGAAGTTTAAGTCATAATTACAGTAGTAGGAGGGACTGCTGTCAACTGGTGAGACTTCTCTGCATATAGCGTAAGGAAACTGATTTATTCTAGTGAGGAATCTGGCCTGATGGACCTAAAAAGAACATAATTAACAGATGCTAACAACCTAATTATATGGAGTGATAAAGACATTTTGACTACAGCTTCAACTATTAGATGCAGGCTATTTTCCATCCTTATTTTCTTAAGAACATAAATGTTGGGTGCAGATTCAAGATGTTATTATCCCAAAATGGAAATCAGGTGTTTTCAGAAGCCCATGAAAGTCAAGAGAATACTTTCTGTAGAGTCCAGGGTGCTTTAGATTGTTTCCCAAGGCCTATCTGATGTCACCTGCCCAGGTGTTGCACTGTCCTGATCTTACTTACTTGAGCAGAACTACTGTTTCATGTTATGCAGAAGGAAAATCTGTGAGAGCAATTGGGCCACACAGTCTGAAAAGCACCAGCTTGGGTTGTAATACAGGGCGAGTGATTGATATAAAAGACCTTGCCAGTGACCACAGAACAGCAAAAATGACTTTAAATGTCTGCACCCCACAGGAAAAACTAACACAAACACTTTCAGACGTTGTACAGATGTGGGGAATAAAATCTGGAGTGTGCATATGGGTCTCTCCTTAGCCCCAAGAACCTCATTCAACATGTGTATCAATGGCCATCAAATCCCAAACTTTGGTCCTATTTCATGCCAGGGTCCAGTGTCCCCATGGCTTAACTCAGTCACTTCCTGTGCTGGTACTGCACAGGAACTCTGCCCCTAAGCTCGGATGGTTTAGCTATCATTCAATGGTTGCCTGCTTCTTTTGTGTTTACCAGGTCACGAAAACCTCAATAAAATCACATCATTCTGGGGAAAAGGAGTGTGGGAAGATATGCGGCAGGATGGATTTTCCTCTAAAACTAAGACATGCTGGACTTGATTTTTTTTTTTATTTTTTTTCCTGCTGTGCTGGAAGAAAAATCCTCTTTTTATTGGAGAGATTTCTTACTTGCACAATGTTTCCAGGAATTCCATACAGGTCCATGCCAATGTTTATTACTTGTAGAAGAAACAGAATAAGCAGACAAAGACTTTTTAAAAGGGATGTAAAGCCAAAGTCTATACGAGGAGTTAGGCTATTTAATGATCTCTTTCCACAGTGCCTAGAATACTTTGTCAGCTAATCCTCCCTGTCTCCAGTGCAGCAGAAGCTGATAGTGTAGGGATGGCTGGAGTCCTAAGTGATTTCTGCTATGCCATGAGTTTGCCTTGTACATGGGACACTGAAAAAGGATGGAAGATCTTAAAGTGCAGATCTTAAACCTACCTGGCCTCTGTAGGTTCTAGACCTCCAGAAGTGGTGGAAGTGGTGGTGGGGAGAGGTGGGAATTATGTTGTAATGGAGAGAGGATGGCGGTGTCCCAGAAGGTTCGTGTGTCTGTGAGTGAGTGCCATCAGTGCCTCTGGAGGGGGTGCTGAGATGAGAGGACAGCTGTGACTGTAGGTGTCTTTGCATGTCTTCAGGTAGACAATGACCGGAGGAATCTGGATATGAACAACGAAGATGTTGATACTGAGAAGATGACTCGTTTCGTTCGGTTGAATGAGCTCCGCCTGGTGACAGAGTACAACCCTGTGGTAATTAGCAGCTCCCTGCAGCCCTCACCCTTGCACTTGGCCTTCTCATGGGTGTCCCTGGGCCCAAGAATTTGCATACCCAGATGTGTGTAAGGGTGGATGGGGTGGAGGGAGCCATGCAGCTCTTCACTGCTTCTCCATACGTGGCCTGGAAGCAGATGCTTTGCTGGGGTGTGTGGGTGGGGTGGGAAAGGAAGGGAGTCATGGCAGTTCCTTTAGCTTTCCAGTAAATTTGGGATGTTGATGGGCAGAGAGCTCCATTCCTTACCACTCCTGCAGGCAGTGCTGCTTCCTCACACGGACATTTGCCATGTTGTGCCCTGCCTGCAGACTCACCTCAACCAGAATCTCCTCTCTTTGGCTTAGAAGCCTTGAGAAACATGGAAACTCAAATGACCCGCTCCCAGAAGGCAGGCTTTTCTTCCTCACTCACTGGACAGGGTTTGATGTAAGCCTAGATATTTGACTGCATATTCAAGAGCAAGTTGGGATCTTCCCAAGCAAAATTTTTCACATCCCCTCCATCCCTTACTCCAGAATTCATCTGTTCAGCAACAACAACAACAACAACAAAAACCCACACCTGCAACACACACACAAAACCAGGCTTAGTATGCTTCCATGTTGGCCATCTTCTCTGGCTCACCCATCTCACTGCCACTGGCAGGGTCACAGTGGTCTTCCCTGCTGTAGAGGGTGACCAAGGATTTAGGCTTCTCAGAAATCTCAGCAGTTCACTGGGCTAACTGCTGTGGAGTCAATAGGTCTTAGAAGCCCCAGTGGCTGCAAGGCTGAGAATTTATCATTGCTGATGGGGTATTTTGTGGCCTTCTGGATAGCTACAACAGTGCTGACCAGGCTCATTTTAATCAAAGGAGGATGGCCCAACCTGTTTCAGAGCTATACCTTTTCAAGTTGATCCCAAGGATCATCTAAGAGAACTGATACAATATGCATTTCAGTCACAGCCCGCAAGTAGGAGAGCTTTTTTTCTTTGAAAATGTAAAATTTTTGTTTCCACAATGAAATACTGTTGAAGTTTGTCTTTTTTCTTTAATAAAAAAACCCCAAACAAAACAAAACAAAACAAAACAAAACAAAAAAAACACCTCCCAAAGAAGTGGATTTGCTTTCTCATCTTCATAAGCGATGTGAAAAATGCATTTTAAAATAACAGAATGTTTCTGGGGACTGCTATATCCTGCCCCACTCTCCTCAAAGCCCTTTGAGAGCACCCAGGTCATGTTGGCGGGGATGTTCTTGTTAGCTCTATAATTGCCCAGACCTTCTTAACCTTTGGAACTCCCGTTGCATCCGTTTGCAATTCATTAGATCATAAGTCTTTGTTCATGTGTTTCTGCTGATGCTTTGGGTTCTCACTGCATGGTGTCCTGTTTGGCACCCAGGCTGTGTCCCTGACCAAGAAGTCATGAGCTGTTCAGCTGGTCCCCTCCACCCTGACTGTCAGTGCACAAGTTGTTAGGTTTTTCTCCAGACACTCTGGAGTGCTATCAAGGTGCTGCAATTAACAGTGCCTCCTGCAGTCTCTGGCCCAAAGCCCTCCTAGCTCCCCTAAGGTAGCCTGGGTTTTTGTAAATATGTTTTCCCAGTGCATATGCTGTTTGCATCCAAGAATGCTGCTGGTCAGCAGAGGATGGGGTCACATGGATTGCACCGAGTGCTGCCAAGAGTTTCACTCCCCATTCTGGGGCCCTTACTGTTTCTCTTCCATACTTAAGGCATTATTAGGCAATGCTTACCCTGTGGGCTTACCAGGAGAGTCAGATATGACCTGACGATGTTGATGAGCTCTGCTAATTGCTCTTGCACAAAGTTGTGTGGACAAGCATACCTTTGTGTGGAGCTGCTGGACGACCTGCTGCTCCAGCCCTGTCCACTGTCAGCTCAGCCTTGTCATGGCCCTTGGTGCTGGCTGACTTCACCCTCACCTTCCCCCTCGTCCTCTCCCATGAGGTTCCCTAATGTTCTCCAGCCTTAGTTTGCATCCCTTTTACTCTCCCCTGCCTCAGCTGTGCACCAGCAGAGGAGTGAAGGAATACAAAATGTCTGATAAACATTAGGCTAACAGCAGAGTCTTGTCTGCCAAAAACTAGATGCTCTGTAGTGCACTGCCTTTGCCAGCATGCACTCCCTGACCCCTTCCTTGTTACTCCTGGAGCCTGTGGAAACTTTCTGCTCCTGTTGGCCAGGAGCTGTACAGTCTGTGCCTCTGTGGTTTCGGTGGCACGGGGGAGGCAGCAGGTCTGGCCCCGTTAGTGTTTAATTTGAGGGAGAGGCTGCAGCGCTGCAGGAAGCAGACGGAAGGAGAAGTGAGATGACGAGTGAGTGAGTTCATCGAGATGGTGCGGTGGCTTCTTGGGCAGTGCCAGCCCTGTCTCCTCACAGAGGGCCAGTGTGTACTGATTGCCTACTTGGCCCTTGCCTGGAGGGAGAGACAGCTGGCTCCAGGTCTTCTCTCACTGTGGGACTGCCAAGGCAATTTTAACCCTCAGCACTCTGGAGTGCCCAGGCCCTGGGGTTGCTGAAACTCTGGACTCATTCTCATCCTATGCACAGCCTAACACTAAAGAAAAGAAGTAAGGGGAGACACCAACCTTGACATAACAAATCCTTCCCACTTTCTTGCTTCCGTTTCATCTGGATGCTGGACCTCAGCATTTAGATGAGGTCCAGTGATTTAGATGAGTCCTCAGTGATTTAGAACACCCTTATATTCGCTGTTTGCTGGCCTTTACTCTCCACATCCTTGCTCTAGTCTTTAGCTTGCTTTATATAGGCAGTTCCCCTACCTAATCACTAACTATCTTGAGGACAGTGGTGAACCCTTGTGGTCTTCAGATACTCATTTTAGGAATAAGCAAAATCAGGGGATTAAGTGCTTCCACAAAGAACCCAGATTGGAACCCTCCTGCTTTGAAGAAACCTGTCCTGCTTGTGATGTTGATTTGCAAAGAAACCTCAGCCAAGTCAGGAGGACTGATGTCCCTCTGACACTGCATCCAATACAAATTGAATGTTCTCAACCTCCTTGTCTGTGTGTGTTTTTCTCTCTGTGATGGGCAGACAGCAATAGGTGTGATGCAGAGTTCGCTCCAGTTTAACCTCCTCCTGATCACAGACAAGATGTCCCCAAAGCACCCTGAGCGAATGCGCAAGTTTCGGGCGGCAGCAGAGCTCTTCAAGGGAAAGGTGAGTCCAAACAGAGACAAAGAGAAGGGAGAAAAAAAATACAGTAATTTCTGCCATGAATGGGGAGAGCATAATCTCCTCTGTGCATTATGAGAGCAAAGATCAAGTAGCAGGAAAAGAAGATTATTTGGGTAATTAAGTGGAGGAGTTGGTTCTGTTCACCTTTTGCCAGTTTGCCTCCTTGCGGGGAAAATATCCTCTCTATCCCGCTCCTCTTCTCTCTTGGTGGAACATTGTGTATTTCATTGCTTCTGGTCCAGTTTTGTTCCCTTGTACTAGATGATGACAAACAGCTGCTCTGCTTCAGTCTGGTGACGGTTGCATTCCACTGATGTGAGAGGTTAATTTGTATATACAACACACAAGATGCCAAGGAGCCTTATATAAGTGACCAGATAGCAAATAACATCAATGTTTCTTAACCCTTAGACTTCTGGTTGGATCCTGGGGAAATGGCTATTTTAAAGGAGTTGGAAGTGGGTTTCTTGAATTTTGCACACTAAGGCGATGAGATAGATGGGATGTTTGAGAGAAATTTTGCCTAGTTCCCATCCCTTGTGTACAGAGCTCCCCGAATAGTAAATCAACCCATGGCTGATTCTCTGCCAAGCAGCTGGATTATGGAGGAATTTGTGTCTGAGAAACAGAGGAATGAACTGGCAAGCAAAGGAGAATTCGGAGCAACAGGAAGGCATTTGGGGAAGATGGGAGTGGGCAGAAGATCACAGCAGTGGGGACAACTGAGCTGAGAGGCAGGCAGAGATCTTCCTCTGAGAAGTGTGGAGCTGGAAAGAGTTGGGGTTTGATAACTAGAACATCTGCATACCTCTTTTTTTGGCACTAAATGGGCAGATTAGAAATCAAGTATATCCTCACCTTCAAATTCTGGGGCCATCTCAGGACTATGCACTCCCAAAAGTCTTGAGACATGTTTATGGCAGGACTACTTTGGACCTTGCCATCTTCCCTACCCATTGGCAAGAGACTAGGTAGAAACTTTGCATCAAAGTCAAAAGGTCCCTTTAGAAGGGTTTTGCCTTGGTGAGTATGTAGTGATAAAAAACCCCTCATTTATCTGAAAAATTCTATTCATCTCATGTGAGATTTGTGTTATATTAATACTGTTGTCACTGTCCTTCATGAGCAGCAGTCTGATACAGGTCTCCCCCAAGCAGCTAAGTCTTCTAACAAATTGCTGTTTAGCACTGCTATCCTTTGCTGATGCAACTGCATCTAGTTTTCATGTGATAAACCTAGATCTGAGAAAAGGGGAATAATTTTCCTAGAAATACTTCACAAAACATTGGATAAAATATTGTACTGAAGTCCAGATAGTTTATGAATTTTCAGCAAGCCAAATCTAACTTTTTTTTATTCGTGCAGGCAAGTTTCTCACCAAATCAGTCTAGAAGTTTGCCAGAGTAAAATATAAAAGAATAAAGATGTGGGAATTAGACTAATTATTTCTGCTTTACTGCAGTGTTACTGCAGGACACAGAGATGAAAATAAGTTGTTTTTCCCAAAGGAATGGCACTCTGAGGAGTAAACCGTGTTTTGAATTGCCCTCTTAGAAAACAGCAAGAGAGCTATGATCCCTCTGTTTGGCTTTTAGATCTGGACAGCAAGGAGTAAGCAGGGTCATATGCCCATTTAGGTTTGTCTCCATTGTTCTGTTATGTAGAAAGACAGGAATTAGTCTGTGTATCAGAAGCAGCCACTGCATAATACCATGATAATCTCTGCTAGCTAATTTTCCTAAATGGAGTTGTCTGTTGTCAGGACTACCAAGTTAACTGAGGTTTACTTCAAAACAAGTAAAGAATTGAGTAAAGTTTGCCTTTTTGTGGCTTGCAGATTGTCTGAGAATTAATGCAAGATTATTGACTTGAATTTTATTAGAGATTACCAGTGAATAATTCATATCCTGTGGGATAGTGGTGGAAGGCTTGCTTGTGCTGCAGGGTTAGTGCTGTCAGTAGTTTGAGCAAGGAATCATTGCTGTGGAGTGGTGTTCAGGCTGCCTGTGAGCATGTACCACTGTACAGTGCTTTACAGCCAGAGTGCCAGAACGGAGTGGGAATGCTTGGTGTGTGTTGCAATTTCTGTACAGGCCAGTGCAAAACACAAACAGAGCCTCGAGAGGGTTCCCAAGCAGGAGAAGGGGTACCTATCCCATCACACATCTCTGTTGCCATCTGATGGAAGAATACTCCTTGTCATTATTATCACTAGTGGGAGGGAAAAGAGAAACTTGTTGCTTGGATTGATGGAGAGGTGAAGAGGAACTACTGCTGCTGCTGAGTGGCTGACCCCAAATAGTGAAGAAAATCAGGGAATCATGGAATCATTTTGGTTGGAAAAGACTCTTAAGATCATCAAGTCCAACCAATAATGGATCATGAAGAAGTGATTCACCTGCCAGTTCCTGGATTATGGTCCTCCTTTCATCTCTGGTTTATGATCTTCTCATTCTTGCCTGAGAGGAAGCTGAGATTTTCAGCTGGAGGATCCATGAAGCTGTATGGTGAGGACTGTTACTTGAAAACAGCCTGAACTGCACCCTGAGCAGCAGTGAGGGCCTGAAGGCAGTCTAGATTCCTCTAGATTTTATTGTGGAACCTGGGTGCTGTAAAATGCTGGAGAGGAAAAAGCAAATGGTAGATGATGCTAAGCCAGCATAAGCTGACAACAATAAGAAGAAATATGGTAGTTTTCTAGCAGACTTTGAGAAACAACTGTGGGTGGATAACAGTGAACAGAGTTCAGAGCACTGCAGCTGCAGGAGTAAATCCACCAGCCTTCTTGGACGGATCCCACTGCAATTAAATACGTGCTTATTTAAGAAAGTACTGCCAAGAGTCCAGGTTTTCTACTGGAAAGAAAATGTCAGGGTTTGCATTGCTGGGCCAAACTAGCATAATAATTTTCAGTTTTCTTGCTACAGGATCAGAGTATAGCATGATAATTACAGCTGGTGTACCTCATGGGTATTGGCAGAAGTTTCAGTAGTGTGATGTTGGGAATAACAAAAGCAGCTTTTGCTGCAACTGATGCAATTGGTTTCCAATGTGAAAATGTTTTGGGTAGAGATGTTTGCAAACTCTCTTTTAATTTGTATGTAGGTCCATTTAGAAGTGGGTTCTGAGAAACTCCTGAGTGTCCTTCAGGACTTCTTCCATGGAAATGAAAAGATGATGCCCTTTCTCTTGCAGACAGTCATCCATACACTTTTTATTTTTCTTATCAGACACTACTGGCTCCAGAACTGAGAGAGAGAATATTTAGAGATGCCTCTTTTAGCAATAAACAGAGGAGCCTGTAAATATGGATTTTCTATGTCACTTAAGATATCTACAGTAAAGTTGTTTCTACACTTTTTTTTTTATTCAAGACCGATGTTTTAGTTTTGCTTTGAGGCAGTCTGTAAGCTATGTAAGACATTATTCAAACTTCAGAATTTGATCTTTTTGCTTATACAGTCTTCTCCAAGAATGAAGACTGCAGTTCTCTGAAGTTCAAAGTCAAACACTGGATATGAGGCTTGATCATCTTTCCTGTTTATCTTTGTTAGAAAAAACTAAACAATGTTAGATTGGTTATTACCATTGCAGTGCTATTTTCAATTAACTTTAATTCCTTGGGCAATAACATCATTCCATATCTTAGTATTTACTAGGAACTCGATGTTCTAAAAGCACTGGGCTAAGAATCAAGTTGTCAACACACCAAAACAGCATCAGTGTACAAATTTTCTGAAAGAGAGCTTATCGCAGGTGACAGTGCAAAGATAATATCATGTGTGGAGTAGAGAGTTTGTGTCAGGAGTTCGTCATCCATGAAGGATATCCATCACTGCCTGTAGCAGCAGACCTCTGAAATAAGGCAAGAAGTTTGCCACAAAATGAAACAATTTCATGGAAATAATTTTTTCAGAATGAAAAAAACTCAACCAATTATTATACAGGAGAGTATGAAATGGAAAGTGAACTTTCTGTTTGGGATGGAACTAACTGGTTTCTAGCAATGATAAAAGAGTTACCATTATAAGTGGTATTTTTGTTTTGATGAATTATAGCTTTGGTGAGTTGTCTGAGCAAAGGTTTTAGGCTCTTTTCAGCACTGATTGAGAAGGACAGCCATATCTTCCCTTCCAAAATAGGTGGAATAAAGTGCTTGTCACTGTTTATTGTAGAGGTTACCTAAATGGCTGACTGAGACAAGGCTAGGATCTGGATGGCAGAGGTTGGGCAATATGAATCTTGCCTCATGGTCATTATAATTTTCCATGATCACTGCATTTATTCTTTATGAATAGAGCTGGATGGGAATCTCGGAATAAAATAAAAAAATAAAATTCCTCAGTTTGTGTGTTTCCATTTGCTTCTGTAAGGAAGAAGGTATTTGAAATTCTAAACCCCAACATTTTTATTCTTTTATTCTTACTCTGTTTTTTGTATTCGTGGATAAAATGTGTACAGCTTTTTAGTTTTCGGGGTCTTTAACAAAGACTGGAAGCTTGATAAAGTGAAGAATATTGACTAACATTTATTTATATTGCCATTTTAAAATGTTATTCATCTGTTTTAAAGGTGAAGGAGGTTTTGTATAGAAAATGACACCATTTATGAACCTAAGTATTCTAAATGCCTTTTTTTTTAATAACCTCTTGTTTAACATTTGATTGAAAAGATACGGTTGTCTAGTGAATCTTTCATAGAGAAAACCAAAAGTTTGTGAATGAACTGCTGAAAATGTGGTACCATTTCCTGTAACAACCCCCTGAAAATGCTTCCTCTCCAGCAATGGCTTCTGTTTCCAGCTTGCTGGTTGGAAGGAGAGCTCTAAAACATTAAGTATTGCTGTTCCATCTGAAAGCCACTTAGCTCAGGTCCTTAGACCTATGAACTTCAAATTTGTGACCATTCTTTAGCTTGGTGTTTTATCCTGCAAGAAAGATGAATTAAACACTCTGAGAGAAGTTCACCACAACCTATCTGTTCACTAACTTTTCCCTTGGGGCACAGTTGGCTTTTGAAAGAAAAATTGCAAGTGGTAAATATCACATATCCAGTGCAAGTATTGTTCCTGTTTCTGTATCTCTCTATATAACTGCAGTTAAACCATACAGCATCCTAACTATCCTTCCTTTCCATAGGCTGTTCCCTAGGAAAGTTTCCAGATTTGTTTCATTTTTTTATAGAACATAAATTTAATAAAATAAAGAACTGGAGATTTACCAAGTTTATTTTTAGAGAAGAAAACAAGTTTTGAACTAGCTTGAGTGTTCTTCATTGAAATGATAGAAAAACATGAGTCACAGCCTGGGAATTAGGCACATCATCTTCACATTACAATTCTTTTCTTTTATTAAACTCTTCTTTTTTCTTGTGTCAATTAAGTCATAGCTTTGTCCAAAAGTACATTGAATATGCTAGCCAAATAGACTGCACAGGATAAAAAGGAGATAAAATGGCACATGCTAGCTGGGTGTTTATTTCATTGACTTGGATCTCAACTGCTGAGGGATGCTATTTAATCAGGTCACTGATTAAATTGTTTCATTGATGTATTTTTTTTTATAAAATTTATACATAATTTTTGTATTTAGCATTAATAGATAATTCAGCAAAGATTTTTGAGATGGCTGTATATTTTATTGGTAATATTTCAGATTCTAGAATTTTAAGTTTGTGCTAATTCCTACTGCACCTCTACAATCTAGGCTGAAACTTAGCTTTTAAACTGAAATCATGGAGTTGGTCACCAATTATGATAAATTTGTACTATTGAATCATCCCAGAATAATCCTAATCCTTGGCTTGATCTTGTTCTCCAAGAATATCTGGGAGCACAGAAGACTGTAGGTCATTCTCATCCTGACTTATTCATTACTGTGCTTCTCTCCCCAGGTCTGAACAACCCTTCACTGAGTTGGGCTGTACGGACGTTGGTGTCTTGCCAGCAACTTCTGTTTCCCAAATGATTGCATCTTCATTTATGTTCACTGCAGCTAACTTAAATACATTTTTTGTGTTTGGTGCTTTCATCTTCTTATCCTTGTTGTCCTGTACTTCACTCCCAGGTTCTTGCAATTGAGTTTGATTCTTCACACACCAAAACATTTTCTGCCGCTCTTGGTCTTGCATGTATGTGAGCATCTTATGCAAATAACATGCAAGTAGAAGAGTCAACTTCTTTGACGTGTGCTGCTAAGATAGGACATCTTGTTTCCTTATCTATTAAGATAATAGAAGTGGAGACTGCCTTCCTGTCGTACTGCAGATATATTTTTAAAGAAGGTGAAAGAAGACATTTTGGTTGGTAGTGTAAGTCTGGACTTAATAAAATACAGAAAAATGCACTGCGTGGAGCTGCTAGATTGTGGCAGAGGAAAGTGTTGTTCTAACAGAGATAGTTTTCTCAAACTCTTTATAAAAAAAAAAATCACTGTTAATCTTCATATGATCGCTGTTTGGGGATCTGTTCTCTCTCTCATCTTCTGTTTTTCTCACATTTCCTTTCCTGTTTCCATCACAGATTCTCTTTATCCTGTTAGACAGCAATTTGAAGAGCAATGAACCAGTAGTGTCATACTTCCAGCTGAAGAAGTCCCAGCTGCCAGCTCTGGCTATATTCCACACACCAGATGATGAGCATGATGTGATGACTGTGGATGAAATCTCCATTGAGCGTGTGCAGGACTTCTGTAATCGTTTCATACAAAAAATGAAGAAGGTGGGTCCTGTATGGGAAACCGGGATCTTGTAGGATGATGCTGTTGTTCACAAGGCTCTTGAAGAAGATGACTTCGGTTTCTTGAACTCCTTCCCATCCCTGTCACCTTCTCTTCCACATACATTTGCACCTGAATATGAGTAAAGCATTAGATCTAGGGCAGAACAGAGATGAATATCTTTGCAGAGCCTCTTTCTTCATCTACAACAAGAAGATTTCACTGACCTCTGAAGGTCTCTGTGAAGCATCTATCATATAGGAACAGCAGCTGGGGAGACAAAGTGAAGGGTACCTTTGAATGCTGAGAATGGGATGGTGAATGGCCGCATATGAGAGTGGGTGAGAGAAAAAATGGCATGGATAGGAATGAAATCTATTGGGAAGGCTACAGAACAGAGTATACAGATGGGGGCTTAGGACTCTAGTAGAGGTCTCTGCTGGGAGAGGGGCAATTTAATCTCCATGTTCATTCAGTGTTAAGAGTTTTCTCCGTTAAAATTCATCTTCCTATAGCACAGAGGTTTTGTGTTGTAAAGTGGAAATGAGATAGGCAGGGCAGTGGCATAGACAGCAGAGGGAGGCATTTGAGTTATTTTCCTTTTATCACTATACTGAGAAACCGAGTAACATCAAAACTGATTTCATGCCTCTAATGTGTTTTAGAAAGAAGACGAATCTGAGAAGCCCCTCAATGAGGAACTCTGATTCCTTCTCAGCCAACAGGATGACTGTGCCCAGAATCATCTTATTCTGGTGTATTAAGAGTTCACTTCACCCTGCAGCTCGACAATTTCTGAACCAAGTTGGTCATGTATTCCCATCACCATTCTATGTATATATATGCTGTCTATCCTCTCCAGAAATCTCTTATCTCTTCTCGTTTGTTGGTTCCAGTTCACTTCTTTTCAGTACTCCAGTACCTTTGGTATTGCCTTACGATGTGCCCTTCCATGCCACTCTGTTGGAGCAAAGAGTGGCGTAGCAAAATGGCAATATCAGAGGTAAAGCTGGTAGTTCCCAGGGATCTGTTTCCCTCATTCTCTTGGCTTTTGGTGATATGCTGGGATCCACTGTCAGCCTTTCCCGACACTACAAATGGATTGTTTGCATGATGTCACATGAACTTTTCCATTTATTTTACTAAATAAAGCAGAAAGTGAATAGCCTGAATTTTTACTCAAATATGTTGTTTCTCACTCCTCTTGTCTTTCACTTGAGAATGAAGTCTCTATATTTCTGAGTAAGCTTAAAAAATCTACTTTCTCTGAGTTTAACTTAGGCTTAGCAACCAACCAGGTTGGTTGCTAAAAATCATTCCCCATGGAACTAGACCCATCATCAACAGATACTTCCACCAGGATGAGAGATTTCTAGGAAGGTTTGGAGTCAGAACAGCACTGGGTACAGCAGCTCTGAGATGGTGCAGCAGAAATGAATGAACCTAAGATGTTGCAGAAGGGCAGTAGAAAGTTGCCTTGCAAGATGGGATATTCCACACTACATTGGAGGGAAAGGCTAATGTCTGTGTATTGACCTCAGACATTCCTCAGGGGTCACAGTACTGGTATACAGGGAATGGGGACTTTGCAGGCAAGGTATATGAGCCATTTTTGTTCTGCTGTACTAGATGCATGCAGTAGGCTTGACTCATACTTGGCTCAGCATCCTTTGGCATGAAGTATGGATGCTCCTCTCAAATAGTGACTGCAATGTCTCTCAAGGCTTGAGAGACTAGGTCTTGGACAGGGAGCCTAAGAGGGGTAGAGCTGAGAAACCTTTCTCAGAGATTAGGCCAATGCAAAGAACTGATAACAGAAAGAAGTTGTTCTTGCTTATGAAGGAAACACAGCTCTCCAAGGCAGAGGAAGAAGTCAGGAGTTGGAAGGGATGCAAAGTAACCGCCCAATACCATGATTGCCACAGCAGGGAGGCAAGTGCTGTGTTACCTCTTCTCTCTTCCACTTGGATCATTCATTTAGCGAGAACTCTTGTCTCCCACACAGCTGGATTTATCTCTATAGTGCTGTATCCTCCCTTCTCCTCTGCTTATGTGAAGAAAACCTTGTGCTGTAATAGTTGGTACAAGGAATCAAAATCGCTCCACATTTCCAAGGAAGAGTGGTACAATCCAAACAGTACTGAGGATTCTTGGCAAGGACGAGAAACTGTCTTCCTGGACAGGGAGCTCTCCCTTAAAAAGCAGAGCAGTAGGCAATATGGGTTCTTGGAAGCTCCATAGTCAAAGCAATAGCTAAGAATTGTTTCCTAAATTAGGCGGTTCAGAAAAGAGAAAAAAGAGGAAGGAGAGCAGAGAGGCAAACCACCTTTGCTCAGTTCTCCCATTATCACAGCTGAGTGCTCCCTAAACTCTGTTTTGCATGTTGCCTGTGAAAACCTGTGGTGTTGCTTCTGGACACAGCAAGATAATAACACTGAAGATGTTAAGGGAGAGATGAGTTTGGCACATTACATACTGATTCTTTTTTTATGCTGGTAAAAGTGGAAGCACATGCCTTCAGCCCATGAAACTGGTTTACTTAGGTGTCCCCTCTTCTGAGAAGCCATTTCACAGTGACCTTCTGTCACTAGCATGTAGTCCCAGATGTGGAGATGTTACCATCGTCAGCTGGAGCCAGAAGGCCATAAAGTTTGGCCCATAGATGTAGTATTCATATAAGAACTGGAGTGAGTTGTCTCTGAAGCCCTCTTAAATGTCTTTTTCTCTGAAGCATGTGACTATTCAGGGTGGATCGCATACTGACCACTGTGTTTGGTGCATTGGATTTACACTCTCATCCTTGAGCAGCAAGTGAAGACTGCTTCTCAGCAGCACTCCTTTGCATGGAGGGCCCTGCCTGGCAGCATCTCTAGCTGTGCTGCAGCCTCTCTCCTGATCAGTGAGCTTACCCAGGAGATGCCATTGCTGAGCAGAGCAAAGCATGCCCTCACCATCCACAGGGCCGGGGAAGAGAACTTTCTGTACCAGATGATCTCTTGAATGAGCATGTGTAGAGTGGCAAAATACATTCCTAAATTCTGCTGGTTGCTCTTGTGGCTTTTGTTCATTAAAAAAGGACTACAGAAGTACAGGAGAGATGCTGAGAGTGGAAGACTGAGCCTCAAAGAGAGGGGAAGGGTCTAAGGTGTCACAATATCTTGCTACTTTTGCTCTGGGTATAGGCAGAGATTGCAGGTCTGGACTGGAAGACTGTGAACGAAGTGACTTTTGTGTTGGGCTCTGTGAAGGAGTGAGCACAGGGGTCAGCCCCTCAGAAGCACTGTGGAGCCACAGGGTCCCATCCCAGACCCTGTCACACAGTACAGCTTTGAGGATAAGAGATGGCTTACTTTGCGCTGGCCCAGGGACTAAGCAGAGCAAACTCACACCTGCATTCCAGAATCCCCATGTCAGTGGTGTATGATGATGCAGAGGGTTGACCTTGGCTGGACACCAGGTACCCACCCAGCCTCTCTATCACTCCCCTTCCCAGAGGGACAGGGGAGAGAGTAAGGTGGAAAAAAGGAAACAACTCGTGGGTTGAGATAAGACAGTTTACTTAAAGCAAAAAGCAAAGTGAAGCTTGCGCGTGCAGAAGCGAAAGATAGCAGGGTTTATTCTCTGCTTCCCATGAGCAGCAGTGGTCGGCCACTCCCGAGAAGCAGGGCTTCAGTATGTGTGACGGTTTCTCAGTAGGCAGCCATTAGACAATGAATGCCCACCCTCCTGCTCTGTGCCTTAGCTTTTATATCTGAGCTGACGTCATATGGTATGGAATATCCCTTTGGTCAGTTTGGGTCAGCTGGCCTACTTGGGTCTCCTCCCAGGATCTTGCCCTCAACTGAGGAAGGAATGTTACAGTGTTGGTGCTGTGCTCAGCAGTAGCCAAAACACCAGTGTGTTCTCAACACCCTTCTAGCTGCCAATGCAGAGCACAGCACTGAGGGCTACTGTGGGGAAATGAACTACAGCTCAACCAGACCCAATACAGATGATTTTGAATTCCTGGTTTTATACTAGTCCTAGAACGTGCAGGGCTGTATCTTCTGCCAAGAATCCTGCTCGCTTTCCCTCAGTTGGAAAACTGCTGCTTTTTATGGCTACAGCTTGTTCCTCCCTGGGAAGGGTTATATTCCTTCCTCTGCAGTATGGTAAAGAGGGAAGATCTGCTGCGGAGACATCTACGAGGAGTCCTGGCATTGTAGATGTTTCCAGTGTCATGCATGTCTGTGGTCCAGACCAAACAGCGTGGGGGGACTGGCCTGCTGCACAGGTGTCTGAGGTACATGTCTTGGCCCTGTGTGAACACAACAGCTGCAAGAATTGGGCACAGCGACGTGACTCTTCCTCAGTGCTGGAGGGAAAAAAAACAGGACATGAATGAAGCTCTGGTTCTGCAAACAAGCCTGGGAGTAAGAGCAGTGTCCCCAGTGACTGTGTTCGCTGTGTACACAGCTAATTATAGGGATAGCTTTTCAGGAGCTTCATTATGTACACTGGGGAGTTTAATTCCCTCTGCACCTTGAAGAGCTCTGCACCGAACTGACAATCTTGGGAGCCACAAGGACACCAGAGGAAAGGCCTCCTCTTCCTCCTCCTCCTCCTCCAGCTGTTCTGTGGGACTTGCACAGCATGGACAGTCCTAGAGTGCTGGGCACAGATGTGGTGGCGGTGGAGTCGAAGGCTTCTGCAATGTGCTTGAAGGCTTCTGCAATGCAACTTTGGTGGGCTTAACCGCTGCAATGGACCATTTGAGGGAGAAACCAGATGCACAATGATGTGGATGGGGCAATCTCTTGTTTGTTGTTTCATTTTTTGTTGGTTTTTTTTTTTGTCCAGTCGTGTTATCTCTGACCTGAATTTGTGGTGTACGTGGCCCAGACGTTTTGAGCTGTCTGGGGAGACTGGTTTGGTTTTCAGTGGGAGGAAGTGCTAGATGCAAACTGACAGAGGGCAGGATGAGGGGGTTCCCTTTGCCCTCAGTATTTTGGAGATACTGTGATGTGAGAACCTCTGCTCTGCAGCAGCACCTGCACTCAAAGGACATTCAAAATACCTAAGAAAACAGCTGAGTCTGCCTAAGAGCAAAGTGAGGCTGCAGAGGCATATGAGAGCTGCTGTCTTTACTCCAGGGAACAGGGAATTGGGTTGCACTGTGGATGATGCAACTTTGCATTCATCTTTGGTGAGAAAGGATTTGAACGCCTCCAGAAGCAGAATATTACAAAGACTTGGAAGTTCAGCAAGCGGACAAACATTTTTGTGGTTTATTCCCCTGAACTGTTGTGTGGGGCATAAAATAAGTAAATGTTGCTTAGAGGTGAGGGCTGGGTCCCAGGGGTGCTCCCCACCTATACTCCCCAGGCAGAAACCAGCTGCCAGGTCCTAGTGGCACCATTCAGCTCTCTTGGGCACTTCTCTTTGGCATTTGCAAATGCCCTTGAGATGCAGATGTTTAAGTTACAACCCTCTCCTCAGCATTTCCTAATGGTTGGTGGGCTGTTTTCCTGTGAAGTATTCATATTTCATCAGCACCTCTTCTGGATATACACATCCCTCAGGAGTCTGCTGGGTCATGTATGTCAGCAGGCAGCAAGGGACCTGAGGGATGAGTTGGTGCTGAGAGTTGCTGCTCTTCTGTCCCGAAGTCCACAGGGCAAGGCTCAGCTCTCTGTTGCTTTATTCCTCTCTTTTCCAGCAGTTGATGCAGTGCCAACTTCATGTAAATCATACTCATCATCAGCTTGAGCAAGGCTATTTGGGGAAGAGGGCCTTTAACAGGATACATGTGGTGCATCAACTGTTTGTTGCAATCTCTCACTCCTGTGCTTCAGCAGAGAATTTTTCTTCCTTTTGTGTAGTATGGGCCCAAACCAAAGTCTGAACACTGCTGAATGTAGGGGATTTAAACCTCTGAATTATCCCCCATCTGCTGCAGGTTGAAGGAAGACTTTCAATATGAACATGTCTGCCCTCAGCTCCAGTTTCACTTCATGCAGAGTTCTGGATCTGGCTGTGAGTGTCTACTGAGCTGTGGGGAATCTGACAGGAGAAGGACCAGAACAACCTTTGCACCTACACGGAAGAAGAGGAGTGGGCACTGGTTTCTGTACGTGAGTCTATCTGGTTAGCATTGCTCCTGCTCTTGAAAGTGGCCGGGAGATGCTCAGAGCCCTCTGACTGC